CTGATACATGAGGGGAAGACAGGAAGGGACCCGAGAATGGATGTGCGTTTCTCTCCTCACTCCTAGCTCTGAGAATGTAATGCACAAGGTGACATAGTAACAGCCACAGAGTTGATGAGTACAGTATCTGCACACTGACTAGATCTTTCCAGAAGCACTGAGACCCTTAATGTTTGCTCAGCATCTGTCTTTGCAGGGCACTGTCCTGTGCTAGCAGTAAGCTAGGTAGGCAGAGCTCCTGCCACTTGGGAATTTGTATGTTCATGGGCCCAAGAAAATATTGGAACATCCTCCATGGTTATAGGAGCTGGGATTGTGAAGAAAAGGGATTCCCCGAGGAATTACTTCTGCTTCTCGCCTGGTCTTTTTCTTATTCTGGAGCAAATGCCAACGCTATGGGCTATTTCACAAGCCCAGGAACCTAGTCCTTTATGCTTTGGGGGAAATTTTACCCTAGTTCATGCTCCTGGAGTAATGGTCACTAGAACCCAAACAGAGTACAAGGTGGGCATCATGTACCTGGGGGAGAATAGGTAGTTCCTCATTTTGTGGGATGAGCATGGGAGGAACCCAGTGCCTCGGGTGACCAGCCACAAGCACTCTCTCTTCTTGTTAAATGGGCTCTGGAAGAGGCAAGTCCATCAATGCTAGAGCAAGAAGCCCAGATCACAGCCAAGGGTATCGTAAAATCTCTACTGGCTACAAGAGGGAGCTGTCTTGCCAGTGATGAATAGCTCTATCCCCAGATTGCTGGAGCGGGTTTGTATCCCAGCTAGGGTCAGTTATGTAATTTATGGGACCCACCACAAAAGGGAAATGCCAGGTCCCAACCAGGAGCTTGCACACCATAGACCAGTCACAGGGGGACTGGAGACCCCCAAGGTTGAACCTTCCTTCCAAGATGTGCTTGGAAACTAGACTGGGGTAAAAGAAAGGCTTCCCCAGAGGCAGAACAATTGCTGCCTTCCCCACACCCCTGTGGAGTGTGCTTCTGGCCTGGCCTCTGTGTACCTGTGTCCAGGCCACTGCTGGGTACTGGGGGTGATGGCAGAACACAGGCTTTTCCTCCTCACCAGGACCAGGATGCTGCCCTAGGTGGAGGATAGCAGTGGTCACAGGAAAGTGGGGAAGGAGAGGACGGGCAGTCCAGGGTGCTGGGGGCTGGCATCAGGTGGCTGGGAACCCTCCCTTGGAAGGCAAGGAGGTGGTGGGAGGCAGGACCACTCTCGAGCAGAGGCCCTGAACCCTCTCACATACCGTACCTGACTTTTACTAGACATGAACTCAAAGATAAGATGCTGAAGAATTTTAAAAGTGCACCACTACGAATTAACCCCCAAGTGTGGAGGCTTAGTACGCACCTGGGTGATTGCACAAGTTGGTGCTTCAGAAGGCCAGTCCAGACCTCAGCTTTACCACCCAGAGAGCCTGAGGATGCTTCCTGATATCTTCACCTACCTGCCTGTCTACAGAGGCAAGATGGCGAGAACAGCAGCAGAGGGATCTGGGGAAGCCGTGGGTGTGGTCACAACTCCAAGTGCAGAGAGCACTGCCTACTCCCACCCAGGGGTTGAATACAGGGCCTTGAGCATGCTGAGCATGTGCTCTACCACTTAGCCACTCCCCAGCCCTGCCTGCTCCTTAGAGAAGAAGCACTCTGAGCATCTTTGTCAGATCCACCTGCTAGCTTTCCTGTGGTTGGAGGCATGCTTCCAACTTCATTTTTTTTCTGCTGAGTTCTGCTAAGGAGCCTCTTCTTCCTTTTGCTCTTTGGTGATCAGTGGTGGGAGATTCCGAGACATCATCCAGGCTTCAGGAGCAGACACACAGTGTAGCAGACACACACAGAAAAACACATACATGCGGACACACCCACAAAACATACACACAAACACACCATACAAACACACAGTAATCGAGTTTTTCCTTTAAGGGCCTCAAGGAGACTGGGGGTGGGGGGATTGGTATTTGGTTGCTCCTAAAGCTCTCTATGAGCATTAACCAATACTAACCATCCCTGCCCCCCCCACCGTCCCCCATATTAGAGCCATTTAACCACGGAAACTTTCCTTTTGCTCTGAATTGTATTTTGCTGCTTCATATAGAATTTTTGCTTAAAAAAAAAATAGAAAGGGTTCTGCTATTCTAAAAACAGCAACAAGAACAAGGATGAGAGCCAGCTCTGTAATCAGTGGAGTTGGGGATCTTAATTTGATTCCTGTGGTCAGAAGGCTCCTGACCTGGGTGCAGAGGCTGCCAGCCGGCAATGGATAGACTGAATCCGGACCCCACATTCAAGGTCCTCCGTGCAAGGAGATCCAGCTACTTAGCTTGTTTGGGTTCACAACACGGCTTGCAGATTCCCTTCTCTTGCCCTTGAACTGACTCCTTGCTTACTTAAACTCAAGTCTAAGATGGAACATCCCAGAAAATCTGCTCTTAAGGAAGTAATTTGACCTTCCGTTGGGAAACACTGGGCTAAGTATCATCAGACCTGCATTCTATTCTGTTCTTAGCCTTCCTCAGTTGTGTGGCTTTGGGCAAACTACCGAAGCCTTCTGAGCCCTCCCACACCATCCACAAGGTGGGAAGATTCTCTGTCTTGCTGTTTTCACTAGTCCTTGATGAGGCTCACGTGATATCACTTGTGCAAGGTCCTTTTGAAAGCTAGGAAACACCATCCAGATGTGTGAACAACCGAAGGGGCAGCTCTCCCCTCCTTTGCCCGTCCTTGGGTGAGTCTTGTTCTGGCTGCCTGATGGGACATCAGGGCAGGTAGGAGGAATGTTCATGTTGCACTATTTTTCTACCAATAGTTCTCTGGTTTTGCACTCTGCCTCCATTAGGCCAAAGTCAAGCGAGGAACTGAATATACCTCCCCGCCCCCAACACACGTAAACATCTAGATTCTCTGTGTCATTAAACTTACCCCCTTTTCTTACACACAGCTGTGTTGTTGGAGAGTGACATGCTGGTAAATGCTTAATCACCAGGTCTTCGAGAAAAGTTCACATTTATACATTCATAAGTTTGTTACAAATTTTATTGTTATAAAGTACTTACAGCACCCAACTTGCAAATCATTATAAAATATGCAACATTCTTCATTGTTTATTCCATATGGCGAATGATTCTCACAAAATCATTCTGCTGGCTCTCATTTTGCAGTAGACAAAAAAGTACAGTTCCAAGGGAAATCTGATATTTTCATTTTTGTTAGGAAATCAGGAAGAAAGTGAAGATGTTGAAACTTCACTCCGTAGCCAATGATACAGGCTCTCAGTCAGGGCATAGCCTATGAAGACTGGAAGAAGATTTTCTTACCTGGTTTTTCTTTACTCTGCTAGTCATATTATAAAAACCCTAGATATGAAATAGTGGTGTTTAATCTACATTGCTATTTTCTTCATCCTAAGTCTAGGTGGTTCAAAACCATCAATCAAACCATGATGTGCAGCATGGGTTTTCCTTGGTTTCATGGTGTTCCGGACACTGCACATGTTAAGCTAAAATGAGACAACATTGAACTGGAGGGGGGGGAGGAAGAGATACAAAGTAGCCAACCTTGCACAGTATAGAAGCTCTATAGATGGAGATAACTTCACGAGCATATTAGGACAACACTAAAAAGAAGAGGCAGTGATGAGTTTATTACCTTTTTTTCCCCAACATAATGTATTTAATTTCAAGTTTATGGGCTTTAACTTTTTATAGCGGCTGCGTTTAACAATTGGCTTGCAAACCTCTGGTGAATTTCCCAGCCTGCTCCTGTGAGTGGATACAGCCTTCTCCAGCATACTCCTGCCTGTTTGTTTTTCTCTAGGATCTGGACTTTTTCAACATTCAAAGAGAGTTTTTGAATATTTATATGTTCTGGATGCGAAGGATTTGGTGGGCTCATCCCTGTCTCATGGAGCTTACAGCCTTTTTGAAAAACAAACAATTTATGCAGTGACTTGGGGGTTTTCTAAGTGTTTTCTATTTATGGGATGGCACCAGTCCTGTTGGGCAAAGTGTGCACGTATCCTGTTCTGGTTTCCCAGCCCCCTCAAGGCTTGGATCCCGGTCTCCTAGGCGAGAGTTCTACCCTTCACAAAGCGCCTTGGCTTAGAACCATAGAATAAGGACCATGAGATGTTGTCGGGAGGTTTGCTTTTAATGGACCTGCTCCATGTAGAAGAGCCATGTAGAAGAGCCATTCCCCAGGCGCCTCCCAGGGTGTGGAGATTCCATTAATCCCTGCTTCTTTACCATCAGAATTTACTCCTGAGTTCACGTGGAACTTCCTTGTTTTGTAGCTTCTCCCCTCATCCAAGCTGTGGTTGTATCTCTGCTTAAATACAAAGTGCCAGGGCTCTGATGATGGATCATTTTATCCAGAAATGGATGCCTGGGTGTACCTGGGCACATGCCTGCACACACACAGGCACCCAGGCGCAAAGAGAAGTCTCTCTACAAGTGGTAGCAGAGGTTGCTCATCAAAAGGGCTTAGCGATAGGTTCTCTGTCATCGGGTGTAATATCTCCTGAGATGACTTGGAAAACTTTAATTACCTTACTGCCTTATTTTCAACTCCTGTTATCTTTTGAACTTCTGGAGGTTGGGGGAGGGGTCACCGGAAGCCTGAGCTTTTTCTAAAGAGCCTTTGTCTTTCTGCCCAGGTATTAAGTTGGTGGCGCAACAATCAGAGGTACATTTGGTTCACTTTTCTCCACCCCGCCCCCACCCCCCCAGCACCATCCTGGGTCTGAATGCCAGCCTGTGTTCTCCTGGTCCACCATCCTGCACAGGGGACCCAGAGAGAATGGGCCACAGGAATGCTCACAGAACAGAGCCAAATTGTTCAAGCTGCGTGAAGAAGAAAGGAAAATCGGGCGGCGGGGAGGCGGGGAAGGAGAAGAAGAAAAGCTCCCCTTGTCGGGTCAATTTCTCTGGAGATATTGGGAGGATAACAGAGTAATTTTTTAGGAGGGGGAGCATAAAACGCGAGAGCCGAGCCTTATCCACACAGTGGCCCATACAGAAAGGTGACATTTGAGAGAACAATTGCTAGGTTGTTTGGCCTCATTTGCGGCTATGAATGAGGCTTAAGAAAAGGTGTCTTTGGATTGCTACTAATAGTCATCTTCATCATTACTACTTGCTCGCTCTCTCTCTCCTCTCTTTCTCGGTTCCCTTATGAAATAAGGGCACACAGGTAATAAACAAAGCACTATAAAAGATCAGATTGAGGTATTCCGTGCGCTCATTCAATGTCGGAGCAGGCACTCTGCACTCCACCGCTGCCACTTTCGGCCTCAAAAGCTGCTACGAGACTGAGGACTAGTAGTGGGATTAGACTAGACCCCTTCCTCCCTTTCTGCGACTTTGCTGAATTTAAGAGGATCCCATCTTTGTTCAGCCAAACCACACCTGACAGCCAAGGGGCAGAGGAAAAGAGGTCAGGATAGAGACCCTTGGATTTGCTCATGTGGATGGTGGATCTTTACCTGACTTTCTTGGTCAAGCCTCATGCCAGATCCAGGTGAGTAGCTGCCTGGGTTCAGAGGCTGCCTGTCACTTCAACCTGACTTTCCTCAGCTTTGACAGAGGATTAGTTGGTGACCCTTCTCTTTTGGGCTCAGGCACCGAAGGTTCTGTGCAATCTCGCAGCATAGAACCTTCCAGCCAGCTGCCTGCTGCAGGAGAGGCAGGCTGGTCTCTGCACAGGATCTGTGTTAATGCATAGGAATTGGGGGAACAGGGGAGGGCAGGGGGCTAGTTTGATTTTGGGGGGATGGAGGGAAGTATGAATGATCCTTCTCCTAACAGGCCAGCTTTCTTGCCATCAGTGTTCTCGTTCCTGGCTGGACCTTGGTGGTGTGCTCACACCCTCCACGGTAATTCTCCTTTGCTTTTAATCTACATGATTCTCCAGAAGCAAACCTGGGAACTATTAGAGACTGTGATGCATCCTGCCTGGTTGCAAAGACAAGAAAGACAGCGAGGAAGCTACAGGCACCTTCTATGGATCTGGTTTCCTGCAGTGGGTTGGTAGCTGGTGCCCTTATCTGGAGAGTTCATCCAGGTGCAGTAGCTGCTGAGCTGGGCTCCCATAGGCTGGCCTCTGAAGATGAAAAGGGGGACCCCAGGGCTTGGGGCTCTTCGTCAGAGCCTGGCTATTCTTTGCTCTGCTGTTCTTCTCCTGCATCACAACCACCACCCCTGGAAATATAATCTGGGAATAGGCCTGAAGGAAATGACCCTCATTGACAGAGAGGACTCGGGGGTTTCAATGGGATTGTGTCTGTACTTGTATTTGGAGGGGATGTCCGACTGAATGTCATGTTCATACTTCAAAGGTTTACTCAAAAAAACTGTCCTAGCAGCTACATATTGGCATCTGTCTTTCCACCAGTGAATAATACTAGTGAGTTCTTCAATATATATACATTCCATGAGACTAAATTCTCTTACCTTTACACAATACGTTTAGCCTTGAGATTTTTAGTACTTTCCAAAGGACCTGTTTATGAACCTCCGTTTTGTGAGTAAAGGAACAGTCACCGCGGACTTTGTATATCTCCCAGTTGTTACACAGAAAGGCTTTCTAGGGTTTAACTAAAACTTTGGACTTCCCAGATGTGAAACAGATGTGTGTGTGTGTGTGTGTGTGTGTGTGTTCAGTAGAATATACAAAGTGGTGCGCACACCTGTGAGTATATTGCTTGCTCTGTTCAAGTGTGTGTTTGAGTTTGGAGTATAAAATACTAATTCTGGAGAAGTTGGAAGCATTGTAACTTGGTGACTTAGGCTCAGGTTCTGAGTCTTTCAGCGGAGACCCTTCCAATGCCCTGCCGTGAGAAAGGAGCGGTAATGCTGAGAAGACACAGCGCTCATTCGTAGGAACGGGGTTGTGTTGGGCACTTCCTATATGTGCTTCACAGACACGTGCAAAGTTGAACATACCTAGATCTTCTCAGTAAAGAGCAAGAGAGGCTTGAAAGCCCCTCAAATTTGCCATCAAATAGTGGATTGCCTCTTTACTTGTTCAGCTTTGAGGATTTTTTTTTCTCTACCTGCAAGTAGCACTGATCGTTGATTTCTGTAGGAATAGCAAGGCTTTTCCTATGGCTCAGAGAAACCTATGAAACCTCTGGTTTTGTCCATGCCAGAAACATAGTAGGGATTCAGCAGCTGCTTGAATATGGAAGGAATGATTGAGTAGCCCCTGCATTGTAGGTGCTGATTTATGTAGTATGTTCCTTTACATTTATTTATACACACGTCTGCTCCACGAGTGGCAAATTCAATTGATAAATTCTTTTCTTATTGACACACTTAATTTATCGTTGACTTACATTTGGTCAGTCAATTGATTGCTTTGATATAATGTAAATATTTCAAAACCCTGGTGTCCTTCAACTCTTTGTGTAGCCCCCCAATCATCATCTGCAGTTAATCAATATAGAGTGGGTAGTGTGATTAATACAAGACTATTTTCTCTGACAGTGAGGTTTTAAATATTTTTGCAGTGTGAGAACCCATATACCAAGTCCCAGAGCAGAATTTAATCTCTTTTTCCCTTATCTCATGATAGGAGGCTTAGAATGGCCAGTGGAGTTAGTGGTAGCCCCGGGCTTAAAGGACAATTATTCCTGTAAGGTGACAGAGGCAGAAAGCATATCGTCACTGGAGAGTTTCACAATGAACACTAAACGTAAGTCACAAGCTCCGGCTGTGTTCTAACGAGCAGTTTGACCAAACAAAGTGGGGTGAAGCAGTTGCTCATGATGTCTGGCCTTGGACATCTGCCTTTTACAGACCTAGGGGGCGGTGGGGACCCAAGTCCCAGCCACTGCTTCTTTCCGTGTTTATCAGCCTTGTGGGTAAGGGTGGCATTAACCACTGTCCCAGCAGCTCCGAGAACAACATGGCAAAACTCAGGAGATCACACAGTTGTGTGTTTGGGGCTTGAAAGAGACTCTGAGGTGAACTGGTGCTCAGGAGGATTTGAGAGCAGATTGGCTTATAGCCATTCCTGTTGGCTAATAATTGCACTAATCTTTTTGAGGGAGGTTTTGTGTGTGCATGTTCCCCGTCCCCTCAATCCCCAAGCCAGAGAACAATAGGGGCACTGTGTTTCTGCACTATTCCCTGAGATAGGTCAGGGCCGGTGACCGAGGGACAGGGTCTTTGGTGGATGAGCCACCAGCTCCAACCCATTATTTAGGAACCCGAGACCTCAGCATTGCCTCACTAGCTGGGCCACTTGAAGAGCAGCTTCCTGGGGTTATCAGATGCTGTGACTTTGGGGGCCTCAGAAACAGGTGTGATGCTTGCTGGAAGAGAATGGTGTGTGTGTGAGAGAGAGTGTGAGCACCTGCACATGCGGGCACTGTGTTCTACGCATTTTTCTCTTATTTAAAATTCACCCAGGAAAACCTTTCTGCTTTTTGAAAATGAAAGCTGTTAAACTAACATTTGGGGTAGAAATGCCTGGTAGAGAAGGCCCTGCGGGGTGAGCTTCAGGCACGTGTATGAAGAACATGTTTACCCTTAATATTAAAGTCAAATTCTCAGCTGTACTATGAGGAGTTGAAGTAATCTGCAAGGTTACTCTTTGATGAGGATACTCGATGTATCCATGGGTTCTTCATCTGCTCATTCAGTGAGCCCTGGATCAAAAACATTAAAAAAAAATATTTGCATCTGAAATGGACAAGTGCAGACTTTTTTTTCTTGTCATTTTCCCCTAAATTATACAGTATGACAGCTATTGACAGAGCATTTGCATTATGCTAGGTATTATAAGTAAACTAGAGATGATTTAAAGTATGGGGGCAGGAGGCCCTGAATAGCTTATATGCAACCCCCCCCCCCCGATGGCATTTTTACATAAGGGACTTGATTATCTGCAGATTTTAGTAACCACTCTGGGTCCTGGAACCAATCTCCCTCAGACACTGAGAGACACCTGTTCTCTCCGATGCACAAAGTGTTGTTTGTTTATTTGGCAGTGCTGGGGATTAAATTCAGGGTCCCATGTACAAAGTGCTATTTACATGTTAATGAGAACGTTCCAGGCGGTTTAGAAAGTAAATGCTCCCAAATACTTATGCCCTGGTTATACCAAGAAGCTCCTGAGTCCTAGGATCTCAAGGACAGGTTAATTTTATATTATGTCTGTCACAGTTTGTGCTAATTTCCTATACCCTCTTTGGAGCACATGATCGTTTTAAACACCCTGAGCCTACCATTTCACTTTAGTGAATTTCCGTGGGCTGGTTGCTCAAATGTTAGGCATTGAGACAGCACACCACCAGGGTTGCGGGGAGTGCAGAGTGATACCATTCCCCTCTGCGTTGTTTCTGCCCCAGTTTTCCCTTCTGCCCTGAGTTCTAGATCTTTCTCTATCTGCTCCCTGCTAAGTGTCTGCTGGTTCGGCCACGAGGAGGCTGGTGTGGCTGGTGGACGGAGCACACTGGTAGTGTAATTTGGCAGGAGCTTGCCCGCTAGCACAGGAGGCTGGGGAAAGCGAGAGGGGGTGAGGATATTTCTGTGGGTGCGGGTAGAGGACGTGGAGAGGGGGAAATCAGGCCCTTGGTGGCCGAAGCCCACGGAGAGCTGCTGATCTGAATTAGACTGAGATCCTGGCAAAGACGTGGTTTCTGTCTCTCAGACCGGGGGACTCCTCTAGCCTGCATTTTCCAGCTCCTCATGAACATTTCCAAATTAAAAAAATAAAATAAAATAAAAATACGTGTGGAAAAATACAGTAGAAGCGACAGCACCTTCCCAGTTTCCGACAGTTCTGTTTTGACTTCACCATCAGCCAAACTGGAGCCCTGAGTAGCCGGCTTCATCTGTCACCTTGAGTTATTAACTGCTTCCCTGCCTGTCTCGTTGGGTGTCCTGCTGGCTCTGGGCCTTTGGCTGGCTCAGTGACCTGTTAACCCCGCGTCCTTCTCTGGGTCTTAGGGCTCTGTGTGAAGGCCCTGTTTCCCTCGTGGAGACAAATCTTAGCTGACTTCACAGTCACCTCCCACTTGGCTTCTGCCAAGGAGTGGCTGGGGCCGAGGGTGGCCGGCTGGTAGGGGCAGGAAGGCCGACTCCTGTGCCAGCTCTCACAGGGTGCAGGGTGTCCTGTAGAAATTCAACAGTGCAGTCTGTTTCTCTTGGTTAAGGACCAAAAAGCAGAGGGAGGTTCGTTCTAGAAATGAAATGATATAGGAGACGGTCTATCGAGAAGCAGAAGGAGTGCTAATCCTAGTGTGTGTGTATATATATATTATGCCAGCAAAGTTCGTCTTTGTGGCCTGGAGTTTGGGCATCTTAATCTCTCCTTTTCCCATCACCCCTCAGGTACCATGCACCTGAACTTTGTGCTTTGGGTGCCTGGGTCTTCTTGGACAACTCCATATATTCAAAGCATTACCCAACTCTCTTTCCCCTCAAAACTCACACATCCCTGATACCATCCTCCCCGGAGCCTTGTGCTGTTAGGCCATCCAACTGATTAATATAAGCAAAGAACCCAAGTTA